CCATGTGTACTTACTTGTATTCCTTTTGTCTTACAAGAAGTTTGGAAGAGAGGGCCTCCCTGGCGGCGCAAGGAGCTAAAACGCAAACCTATGAAGCTATCCGCAGCCACTGCAGCACGAGTTTGATCCCCGGCCAGGGAACTACCCACATGGCGCAGCAGACCTCTCCTGACTTGCCCACTGCTCCCCTCAGCAGTGTATTTCAATTGATCAGCCTGTTCTGTTCCCCACTCTGTATCTGGTAAATCCTCTCACTCTTTCCCTGCCCCCCCACCCGACACCTCTGACCTATACCCTCGTTCTTGTATGCATAAATAAACCTTTTTTTTTTTTAAAGAGGTTTAGAAGAGAAAGAAAATATGTATAGCAGGTAGAAGGTAATGACAAGTTGGTAGATGGTACCGGAGTCAGTGGACAGGTTAATGTGAGAATATTTCCAGATTAAGAAGAAGCAACCTTGAGAGAGAAGGGTGGGCAGCACTGACAATGATGGGGAAAACAGGAGGGACGTGCACAAGGCTGGAGGTCACAGTAAAGATAAAAAGCATGTTCAACGGAAGAGATGAAGCCATGAAAGATCATGAAGGTGATCAAAGAATATGAGCTACTGGCAAAAATGGGAAATGAGTTTTGAGAAATCTAGAGATATCCAGTAGATGACAGAAATCTGTTGACCTTTTATTGAGTTGTTTAAGTTGTGACTTAATACCCAACAAGCTCACGTTATTCATCAGTAAAGAGAGGAGAGAAGATGCAGGTAAGTGTGAAATCCACTGAGGATGGCAGGGAAGAAATCTAGGACTTGGAGGCCAACAGATGAATATGAGACCCGGTATTATGACAATGGCCAAATGGTTAAAATGGATTGGTGAGACCGCAATCAGAAGAGTACAAGTGGGGAAGCAAGAGAGCCAATAAAGCATGGAATAAGTGGGTGCCGGGGAAGGGGTGGGGGGAGATACTCATTTTAAAAACACAATTAACTACCCAAAAATATGCCAAGGAGGGTTCAAGGAAGATGCCAAGGATAGAGAGGGTGGAACAGAATTCTATTCTAGGGATCCATCATTAATAAAACATAATCATATTATGAATGATGGCACATGTACATTTCTATACTGAACATGGACAGTTTAAATCAAAGTACTACATACAATGAGCACTTACAAATCTAAGTAATTGCAAAATAATTCACATATATGCAGATAGGAATGTGACTTATTAAAAAGATGACTACAGGTCACCAAAAGTGACTGACATAGGGGCATGAGAACAGCAAAAGAAAGTGCTCCTTGGGGTACACATGTCAGTTTCTTGATAGTTTAATTCTTGACAGTTGAAAGAAAGCCTTCACCTTTCCCCAGACCCAAAAGCAGGGAGTCAGCTTGCTGAGAAATAATACCAAAATCAGATTACATAAGGCTCCAATCCCTGAATTTCTCATTGCCTTCCTGAGACTTCTCTTATACAAAAACACAAATCACTTGTCTGGGACTCCAGATATTCCTACCAGGTCAGACTGCAGACAAACATACACGCATGCCATTGTGAGATGAAATCAGGTCACAGAAAGGCCACTGAAAACAAGTGACTTGCAGAAGAGAAGAGGATTAAAAAAAAAAAAAAAAACAAACAAGGATCAGGAATCAGGACAGGGGTGGGAAGAACACAAGGGACTATAGTGATGGTGCACGGGGGAATTGGTGGGAATTTCATGGGGAAATAATACATTGTACAAAAATGAAGGCTGATGTAATAAAAATATATATAAAAAAACAAAGGAAAAAAACAAAGAAACCATGAAAAGATAAAGCTGCCAAAGACATCAGCACCCCTATCTCCACATATCTTCTTAGGCAACAAATGGCAGAAAGTCAGTGTGTGTGGTTCATAAATAAGGATAATATTTTAAGTAAGGCAACAAACTATTACAGTGGCCATGTAACATTTACTGGCCATGTCAACTACATTTAAATCAACTCTCTTCTTGATTTTGGAATAACTGCTTCATGTTTAACAAGAGGGAAGTGCTTCATCCATACAAATGTGGAGGGTTTATTAAACAATTAACCCAGGTAAGCAAATAAACACACTCATGAAGCAGCAGGATTAGCACCAAAAGACATTTGGTAGAACATAAGCACCTCAACAGAAGTGAAAAGAAGGAAGATAAAGATTTGTACTATTGGGAACAATGGAAGTTTTTCCTCATAGGAAAAACTCCTAGTAAAAAATACCCATGATGAGCTTGATGAATTTATACCACCTTGTCACTAACAGGTGCTTTATAAACATTTTCACAGGACTCATTGTATATTATGTTACTTCACACTTGACCTTGTGAAATGCAGAGAACACCTATTATTGTTCCTGTTTAAGAAATGAAAAAAGGCTTAGAAAGGTGTAATTATGTATCCATAAGAAAACAACCAGGAAATGGTGGAGAGCAGATCTGGACATAGACCTCTGATGCGGCCTGAACTGACTGAGCACTATCCTTGCCCATCAACAGCTAGAAGGAATGGCATCTAAATAACACCCACAAGGGCTAGGACTCCAAGATCCAATGTGCTTACTGTGCCTTGAATGCCCTCGAGGAAAAGCAAGCTCCTTCAATCACTCTGTCTGTGTGTGTGCGCGCATGTTTGTGCACGTAGGTATGTTACGTGAACACACACGAGTGCGCTGCCAGCAAATAAGGAGCTACAGAACCAATACTTACATCAAAATAAAATAATATTACTAAAACAATAAAACTTGCCTCTCTGCATAGAAATATTCTTGATTTGCATCATGTTTCTCTTTGCATAAAACACTGACATTTTCATGATGTTCTGGAACCTGCTGCTTGCTTCTAAAAGCACTGGTGCCATACCATGCTGTCACTGTAACTGCCCTCTAGTGAGCCATCAAAAGCCCAGCTAGGACTATTTGAATACAGCAGTTTGCCTGCCACCACAATACTAAATTGCAATATTTTATATTTATCTCTATTTAAATTTTAGTGATGCTGTATAAATGTTTAACATGGTCTTACATTAATACAATCAGGGAAAAGTCTTAATAACACCCCATATTGGCATAATCTCTGGGTGAATTATGGTTTGCTAAGCAAGTTCAAAGCTTATGAAATATATCTTAAGTCACTTAGCCCCCTTCAACTAGTATGTGACAACAAATGTTACACAGTTTACCTGAAGAAGTGTTTCTAGAAGCAATAGCAAAGGGCATATAGGCTACTATGTTCATATTCAAAGTGGAATAAAATACTTGGGATTATGGGAAATATTTCCAAAAATAGCCTGGGAATTAATAGCATTTGATTTAGTTCTTAGGGGTTATTTTTTGTTTTTTTGTTTTGCATAGAAGAACTGGGATGCAAGTCAGAGGCACGGGGGTGGGGTGAGAAGATTCACCAGACACAAAGTGGGGAGCAGAACAGGCAGATTTACTGAAATACACTGCTGAGGGGAGAAGCAGGCAAGACAGGAGTGGTCTGCTGCACCATACGTGGGTTAGCTCCCTGGCCGGGATCAAATTCAGGCCACTGCGGTGATATTGCTGAAATGTAACCCCTAGGCCACTAGGGAGGCCCCTGATTTATTTCTTAGTTTTATGGCTTGAGAAACAAAAAGTGAACCTCAGTAAGTTCTCCAGTCTCTGAAGCTTTATGAGGATAAGACACTGGATTTCTCCAGAGCTGAAATCAGAGCTACCCATGGCAAACTCACAGGTTCTCCACCTTGGACACACAGGCTGAGATTTTCCTGGGCTTCCAGGGAGACTCTTGCTCTGACAGATGGAACCCAGGAAGGTCTGGAGAGCCTGTAAGCCGCAGTCTTGACTGTCAACAGCACAATCACAGGACACCCAGGACTTGGAGATCAAGGCAGGTCAATGATAAGGGGAATAAAGGCCTGAAGTTTTCTCAGCATCTACCCATGCAACAACTCTTCCAGTCTTCCCAGCTCTCCCCTCAATTTAATAAAAAAGATGCTGAAGCATTTCAGAATGACAGGGCACCAGCCAGACACTAATTAAAAGGTGAGAATGGATGCAAGGCAATGGCAAACTTTTTAAAACAAAGTTTCGGTGTGTCAGGATGGTGGCAGTCTAAGGCCCCTGACTCTAAACAAAATTTCCAGTGGTAAAGATGCTGAGAATAGTCTTTCTCCTGCAATATTACCATCCCTGAAACCAAGCATGGCTACCCGTAAGAGCCACTGCCCACACCCTTACTGTAAGAATCTGAATGCTGGATCCTAATGCAGCGACATGAATTGTCCTAGGGACAGATTTTTAGAAATTGGGAAACTATAGGTCCAATGGACCACGTACAGAATAAAGATATGTTGTGTGTTTTTTTCTATGAGTATAATGATGAGGTGCTCACATATCTTTCTGCATTCACTCTTTAAAGATGCCCCCTCCTCAATTTCTCTTGCCTTATCAGTCTTCTAGCCACATTAACTGAAATTCTAAACAATTCCCAATCCAGAGAGTACAAGAACCTGACAGCATGTCAACAGATTCAAGACAGCTAAGGGAAGACAAGTTACCCTCAAGATCAGATTCATCATTCCTTCATCACCAGAGGTAGTTTTAAAGCCCAAAAGATCAACACTTGTAGTTGTACTTTCAACTACTGATGGTTAGCCTAACTTTTCATGAGTTTAAATAGAGAATATGACTTAACATATTATTAAATGTATGTGTGCACACACACACACACACACACATATATTAAAAAAAAAAGATGTGGGTCAACAGAGTCACACGTAGATGACAACATGGCTGTAAATTTTATGTACAGAGTAGAATCAAATTCTAACTCTTGTTTCAGTAGGAGTATACTGAAATATGGATAGGAATGTGTGTGATAAGGATGTGCATGAGTTCAGATGTAAAATTCTTCCAGGCCAATCAGGCCAAGAGTAAAACTAGATTTTACCAAATGATCCTGGGCCAGTGGGGCATCCCTCCTTCCTACTCCTACTCACCTGGAAAAGGCAGCCCCCAACACAAAGGCAGCATACTCCTTCACCAGGGGCTCTGTGCTGTTCAGCCCATTGATCACCACCTGAAGACCACCGAAGGAAAGCAGGTCCTGCGCATTATCCATCTGCAACAAGAGCAGTGCTTAGTGCAGTCCAGCCATCAAAGGAAAAAAAACTTTTATAGCCTTTCTTTGGTGACTACTCAAAAGCAATAGGAAGCACAATTGCAACGTAAAAAATCAATGGTGGCCTTCATGACTACCAGGACAGGGTTGAAAAAACAAACTGAATTTTTAAATAATCTTAAATTTGACAACTCCCGATTCACCTAACAATTTATGAACATCTGCTTGGAAACTGATGGAAATGGCACCTAGTTGTTGCTTCTGCCAACCATATCCTGGAAAATTCTAATACCAGAGGGCCTCCCTGGTGGCGCAAGGAGTTAAGCACCGCCCTATGAAGCAATCCACAGCCTCTGCAGCACGAGTTCGATCCCCGGCCAGCCAGAGAGCAGCCCACATGGCATAGACCACCTCTCCTGACTCGCCCGCTGCTCCCCTCAGCAGTGTATTTCACTTGATCTGCCTGTTCTGTTCCTTACTCTGTCTCTGGTGAATCCTCTTACCTCCCGCATCTCTGGCCTGTACCCCAGCTTTTGTATGCATAAATAAATAAATCTTTTAAAAAAACTTCTAATACCGTAACAAGCCACAAAGCTTATTCCTGATGTTCAGGTTGTTAACACAAATACCCGGTGTCAACAGCACCATGCTTTTTGTTCATGTCCAGCTCCAGTCAGCAAAGGGACAATGGATGCAGCAGATACTGTGGAGGGGAACTCATTTTTAATTACAAGTCAGAGATTATAAAAGGAACTCTGTTGCATGGGGAGGGAAGCTGGAAGAGTATTAGGAGAGGAGTAACAATAGCACCCCTTCTCTCTTTCTCACTTCATAAGGTCTAACTGAATCTTTGGACATTCATGACAAAATTTGCACAAAAGTCTCTTTCTCAAAGACTTTAATCTAGGCCAATGCTACTGGTTAGCAGCTATAATTTGACAGTACAGAACATTTCCATCATCTCATAAAGTTCTATCAGACAGTCCTAGCCTAGTCAGGTCCAAAGTCCCAAGTTCAGAATCCCTCTTTCATTCCACTCATTCCCCAATGAGAATCTCATTCCCAAGCGTCATTGCTACCCTAGAACAAGACAACTTAGTCCAGGGCCCTTTTCCCCCTATGTAGTAACTATGTCTCTCTAGAAAATTTCTTTGTTGCCGCAAAGGTTGGCAGAAAACTCAGGAAGCTTCAGTCCAACAACATGATTGCTACCTCCTACTTCTTCCATATGACAGAGCCCTTTCCTGCCTGTGTCCTCCGAACTGGATGAGGGCTCAAACAGAGAAAGTAACTTTGAAGGATAGCTGTGTTTGACTCTGACAATATTTTAGGTGAACCTAGCCTGTTTTTTTGTTTTTTTTTTTAACACTTGGAAGATCATTCTTTTTTTTTAAAGATTTATTTATTTATTTATATAAGCACTGGGTACAGTCAGAAGTGTGGGAGGGTGAGAGAATTCACCAGAGCCAGAGCAGGGAGCAGAGCAGGCAGAAGGACCAAAGTACACTGCTGAGGGGAGCAGCGGGCGGCAGGAGAGGTCTGCGCGCCATGAGGGACCCTCCTCTGGTGGCCGGGGAGCAGCAGGGGATCAAACCAGCGCTGCAGAGGCTGCGGGCGGCTTTGCAACCCAGCACTCAACAGCGGCACCACAGGGGAGGCCCTGGAAGATCATTCTTACACATTTTTATATAATCACTACAAGAGTTGGCATAGTGGTTTTGTTTTGTTTTTTTTTTTATCTGTCCACTATTGTAGGTCTATCTACAAATGATTGTAGAACAGCACTGAGCATATAGTTAGGAGTTTAATAAATAATCTTTAAACCAACAAATGAATCTTATTTTTTAAAATGTTACTGAAATAAACCCCACAGTGAGTAAAAAAAGGCAGTCTGGGTTTTTGTGCTAACAGAATAGAGAGACCTGAAAAGGTGGCCAGACCAGGGCTGTCATGTATGGAATCTGCTCCAGCCTGGAATTTTTTTCTGCCTTGGTATGTCCTTCAGAAGAAGAATGATTTGTAGCTAACAACCCAAAGAAAATGCAGAGCTGGGTGCTTTGCAGACGAAGTACAAAGAAAGCTTATACTGGGCCTTCCTCACATACTATCGATTTTATAATCCAGGAATTCACTACCTCTCCTTTGATCCTTCTTTCTCCAGGCTTACAGGATACGAAAACTGTTCATGTGCTTGGACAGCCACTTATCAAAGCTGATATGACTTCCTAGCAGGGCAAGTACCAGTCTGACAATACCAAAACAACACAGCCCAGATTCACAGAGGTTCTATACTCAATCCGGTTTATCTTTATTACTGACATAGTAAGTCAGGGTGTTACAAATGCTGACATTTAGATATGCACCTCAGCCTCTTCAAGATGTTTTCTCATTTGTTATTCACTGGAGATGAGCAAGAAGAAAGTCATTGTGCCCACTGCACACCTGGAAGATCAAGCTCCAAAAGGTGAGGCCTGCCTGAAATCACACAGAAGTATGACCAGGGCCCAGATCTGCAGCTCCCCCTCTGGGTCTGGGGCCATAACTTTTCCCAGGCTGCCCACAGGATGGGGTAGAACAGGCAGAGGAGTTCCAGGTAGAGGAAAAGAGCAGGAAGAAGAGGACAGAAGGGAACTGTGCCAGCACTTAGATGAAAAGAGAGCATCACAGTACTGACAAGACAATGAGAAAACAGGAAATAGAGAAAGGGAGAAATGATTGTAAATAGTTGAGGAATCATGTTAGGAAAGGCAGACAGACAGCTCCAGGGTAGATGGGGCAGACAGAGGCAGGTCCTCATAAATAATTCACAAAGTCTTACCCACACGCAGCTTTGCTTTTTCACAAATCCCATTTAATAATTCAAATGTGGCTGTGAGGAATCCTTGGGCAGATCCAGTTTGGGTCCTTGAAGCCCATGGCTTCTCAAAACTGCCAATCAGTGGGTCTAGAATAGGAATGGACTGGTAACATTCCTGGCAAAAAAAAGTCCTATCTTCCTCAAAGTTAGTACACATTGCCCTAAATCCCCACAGCAACTGGAACTTGAAGCTAAGCTGTGTCTTTTTTTTTTTTTTTTTTAGTTTATTTATGCATCAAGAACTGGGGGTGTAGGCAAGAGATGCGGGGGGGTGAGGGGATTCATCAGAGACAGAGTGGGGAGCAGAACAGGCAGATCTACTGAAATACACTGCTGAGGGGAGCAGTAGGTAAGACAGGAGAGGTCTGCTGTGCCATGTGGGTTAGCTCCCTGACTGGGGATTGAACTCAGGCCACAGAGGCTGATGATAGCTTGAAAGCTCTGAGACTTTAACCCCTGCACCACCAGGAAGGCCCCCTAAGCTGTGTCTTTTTTAATATTGTTGTGAAATCACAATGAAGCCTGCCACTTGGCAGCGTGACATACCAGCCCAAAGCAAGGCCCTATATTTTCAATTAAGGGGCCAATGACCAGGAATATTCATGAATCTTCCATTAACAGGGCAAGCTTGACCTCTGTCAGGAGACTGGTTCCTGGACTGACTCCAGGGTGAGATTGGTGATGTCCCAGAAATCGCCCTATCTAGTCAAAGGAGAATGGGATGTCACCAGGTGACTCATAGATTTTTAGTGGGGGGGAAATCTTGCTGGGGTGCTATCAGTACCTGTGCACTCATTCCCTCGCAGGTATATGATAAACTCTCAAGACATTGTGGCCTTTTATGCTACAAGCAAAGGAAGAGCCTACAGAAACCTGACACCTAAAGATCTACCCACACTAAGATGGGAAAAAATAAAAGCTGTTAAGATCAGAATAGGACTTAGTTGGCCAGTAACCTCTAAGATCCTTAATCCTTTAAATATTTGTAATGAAAAAACTGTTGGAATTTTTTTTGTTGTCCCAGAAAGATGGGAAAAGAGAACAAGAACCCAGGTCTATTCTGTCTCAAAGAGGCTTAGAAACCTAATATTTGAGGTCTGAGAAAGAATTATGAGCAGAGAGAAAACATAAAGAGGCCACCCCATCATTCCTGCAGATACAGTACATACTCATCTCTTTCACCACAAAGGCTGGCAAAATCCTAAAGAAAAAAAGAATGTCTTTTAGCCAAGTTTATAAAGAACAAGGACAGTGTCATGCGTGGGAGGATGCTGAAGATCTGTCTTGATGAGACTCTCAAACAAGGCTTTGATTACACAGACTTCCTGGGTCACCATCGCCCTAGGCTGGATTACTGCACTAGCTTCCTCTCTGCTTTCCCTACTTCTACTCATGCCCCTGCCTTTAATGTTCCACACAGCAGCCAGAGGAATCCTTTAAAATTAAGTCAGATCATTTCATTCTTCTGCTCAACTTCCTTCAATAACATCCAATTTCATTCTTTTCATGGCCTACAGGGCCCCTTCCATGATCTTCCTCCCAAACTCTGAGTTTCATGTACTCAATTCTCTCAGCTCCAGAAGCACTAAACTTGTGGTTCCTCAAACACACTAGACACACTCTTCCACTTCTGGGTTTCAGCACTTGCTGTTTCTCCTGTCTGAGATGCTCTTTCCCACCACTGTCAATCCTTAGCCTGTTCTATTTTTCATTTTTCCATAATATTTGTCACCTTTAAACAGCTCATTTGTAATTTACTTATTAGCTATGTTTATTGTCTAGCTACCTCCACTAGAAAATAAGCTCTGATTTTATTCATAGATGTATCTTAAGTGCCTGGCATAGCACCTGGGACTTAGCAGACACCCAATCAATTTATGTATTGAATAAATGAATGGTTTCACCAGTTCCTTTTTCTTAGATCCACCTATTTCCTTTGAATATCATTCACATGATTGATATTAGTATTCTGTGAAATACAGAGTAGAGGTCAAAAGGTTAACAGGACTGTTTAAGGTCAAATTCTAGTTCTACATTCACTAGCTGGGCGACCGCAGGCAGTCACCTGCTCTCTCTGTGCCTTGTTTTTCACAGTACTAATGTAAGATTAGTAGTAGTGCCTTCTTGGAAGGCAGTTGTGGAGGTCACAAATAAATGTGTACAAAGTACCTGAACATGAGCCTAGTATATGATAACACTCAACAAATATTATCTATCATAATTATGACATAAGTCTGATCAGTCATTTCCATGTTTCAAACTCTCTAGTAGTTGTTAGGATCAAGGATAAAATCATGAAGAACATGCCGTTACCAAACTCTCTGACTACCTAACCTTTCTACTTCATCTATGACAACTCACCCCCAGTCACTGTGCTCCAGTCACTCTCATCTTTTGAAGTCCTTAGTCTCACCAAGTTCTCTGCCTCAGAATCTGCTTGGAATGCTTTAATCCAAAGCTTGGCAAACTTTTTCTGAAGGGTCTAGTAGTAAATATTTTAGGCTTCTTGAGCCATATGCTTCTATCATAACTACTCAACTCTGTCATTGTAGAATGAAAACAAACAACATAAACAAATTGATATGGCTGTCCTAATATAACTTTATTTACAAAAGCAGGCAGTGGGTCAGATTTTGTCTACAGGCCATAATTTGTCATTCCCTGCTCTAATCTTCTCTCTTTGCCTAGCCAATCCCTAATCATCCTTTAACAAAACTCAGTCCAAAAGTCACATCCTCAGAGAAGTCTTCCCCAATGCCACTGACTAGGCTAAGTTCCTCTGTTACACTCTCCTACATTACTCTATGAGCCCTGATCACAATCTTAAATTTTCTCATTATTATATCATTAATTTATTCATTGTTCATTAATCTCTTCCAAACCATAAACTACACAGAACAGTGACCCTATCTATTTTACCTCTGCTGTAACCTCAGTATTGAAAAAATAAGGAGGTAGCACTCCAAATAAAAAAGAGGTTGGCTCTGGTCTCTACAAATATATTTCATTACTATAGACATTACCCTAGATTTAAAATACTGTGTGCCCTCGGAAAAAATTAAAGATGCTAAAGTAATTTTCTTAGGACTAAAGGCAGAGGGATTTATATTTGGAGCTTTTTGTTAAAAGCCAGGCTTATGGACAAAGAAATACAATACCTGATGGACATAATATTCAAGATCAAAGAGTGCTGCAATCTTTTCTTCCAGGCTGGAGCTGGAACTATTGAACTTGTTGATCAGCCGCACCATGATCTGCATATCAGTCTCAATGACAACATTCAGCTCTGCAAAATCCTTCTTCAGCTCCTCAATGGGACGGAATAGCCTTTTAACCTTGGCCTGCCGTGCCTAAGGAGAGCAGCAAAAATATAATTAAATCAATTGAAGACATTACCTCGAGAGTCCCATGGTCTGCATGGATGCTCACCCTCAAGACACTGTTGCTCCAGGACTCAAAATTTTCTTTAGTTTGTGCTTTCAAAAATCCTGAAACCTTCTAAGAAGCCCAGATAAGCAAGTCCTCAGAATCTCTGCTCCAAAAATATACTCGAGATTTCCCAGGGTTCGCTTATTCTAGTCCAATGCTCAGGAAGAATGGAAAATCTTCTTGTTTCAATCACTGATATCTGGTGAAATGAGCTCGTCTTCAAGCCCTAACTTCACACGGGAAGACTAAGGTCTAGGGGGAATAATGCATGCATGCCCTGGTTCTGGGTCTTCTACAGTTACGGAGTATCTTGGTTTTGCACTGATCATTCTAGCAACATTTTAGGGAAACCTGGAAGTAGGAGACTGAGGGTAAAGAGTTGTCAGAGTGGGAGCAATTTGCTGATGAAAACTGAATCACCATCATTATTGTCAGTCTAACTACAGGTGTACAATTTGTTCAAGTGGCTAGATTACTGTATGTTCTACACTCAAGTTTCATACAACTTTCTCTCAATCCCTCCCCACCCAACACATAAGGATTTTTAAAATGAAATTACGATGGAGGTGAATAAAAGACTTTAGTTATTTTAAACATGATACTTCCTGTTTTCTTTCCAATTTTAGAAGACAGTGCTTATAAAGACAATCTGAAAGATCACAGTGGTTTGTGTTACTATCTGCCAAGGAAAAATTAAAAGGCAGAGATATTTATAAAATGCAAGATGACGAGCAGCTGTCAGCTCAAAATTGCCTATCTATTACCTATGGGTTTTCTCCCCTGTTACAAGTACTCCATAGAAACATCAGCCAAAGAAATGAATCAGCCTCTCTTTAAAAAGACCAGGCTCCTAGAAGAGCAATCACATCTATGGGAAGCCATGTCCTGTTTCTTTGGGCTAAAAACAACAATGAAATACACTTCCTACACCCAGCTAGAAGACTGACTGTGGATGGCTGCCCAAGGCCAGGCAAAGAGGTCTGTGAACACTAAGTCACTGCTTAGAGCTGCGGAATGATAGGCAAGCAGGGTAAAAAACTAATCACCTCTGCCTCACAAAAATGATGTGAGCCTGGCCCTCAGGAAGGTCTTAATAATATTTTTTTCAATTTTGCAATAATTAAAAACCTACAGGAAGTTACAAAAATAGTACAAAGAGTATCATGTGACCTTCATTCAGCTTCCCCCAATGGTAACATCTTGCCTATGAAATTTATCAGAACCAAGAAAATGGCATAGGTAGTACAATAGTGTTAACAGACTACTGAACTTACATAGATTTCACCAGCTTTTACATGTACTCATCTGTATCCATGTATCATTCTATACAATTTTATTCAATATACAGATTTATGTAACCATCAGAGCCATTAAGCTAAAGCACTGTTCCATCACCACCAAACAACTCCATTTTGCTACCCCTTTATAGCTACGCCTCATCCTTCTATCTCCCTCTCACTCCTACTGATCTGTTCTCCAGCTCTATTATTTTGGCATTTGGAGAATGTTATATTGATTGAACTATACAGTTTGTATCTTTTTGAGATTTAGGTTTTTTACTGAGCACAATGCTCTTCAGATCCTTTCAAGTGACTGCACATATCAATAGTTCCTGATATACACTGAATAATATTCCTCTGTATAGTTTAACCATTCCCCTATTAAAGAACATTTGAGTTATTCCCAAGTTTTGGCCACTAGGAATAAAACAGCATGAACATTTGTATACAGGTTTTTATATAAACATAAATAAATTCTTATTTCTCTGGGATAAATGCCCCAACAGGGTAACCGGTAGGACATAGGATAAGTGTACGTTTGGTTGTATGAGAAACTGCCAAACTGTTTTCTAGAATGCTGTACCATTGTATACTCCCACCAAAAGCATATGAAATACCCCATTTCTCCACATCCTCACTTGTATTTAGTATTATGACCATTTTAATGTTTGCTACCTAACAAATGTAGTGATATCTTGTTGTAGATTTAATTTATAGCTCTTTAATAGCTAATGACATTAAACACCTTTTCATGGGTTTATCTGCAGTTCATATGTCCTCTTTGGTGAAATGCAGATTTGTGTCCATCGCCCATTTTTCCAAATAGATTGTTGATTTTTACTGTTGAGGTTTGAGAGCATTTTTTTGGGGGGGGGGTTGGTTTTTTTTGAGGTTTGAGAGTTCTTTATATTTGCTAGATAGAAATCTTTTGTCAGGGCCTCCCTGGTGGCGCAGTGGTTGAGCGCTGGGTTGCGAAGCTGCCCGCGGCCTCTGCGGTGCCGGTTCGATCCCCGGCTGCTCCCCGGCCACCAGAGGAGGGTCCCACATGGCGTGCAGACCTCTCCTGCCGCCCGCTGCTCCCCTCAGCAGTGTACTTCGGTCCTTTTGCCTGCTCTGCTCCCCGCTCTGGCTCTGGTGAATTCTCTCACCTTCCCACGCTTCTGACTGTACCCAGTGCATGTATAAACAAACAAACAAACAAACAAACAAATAAATAAAACAGGCCTCTATAAAAAAAAAAAAAGAAAGAAATCTTTTGTCAGATATAGACAGTCCTTGCTTTACAGATCTGACACAGCCTAATTTCAAATACCACAGTTTAAGTAACACCAGTCTCCCAAGACAACTCAAATTTCAGTTGTCAGGACATATTAACTGTAATTGCATAAAGTACCAACTTTGCTGTCAGCTGTTAAGTCTACAAATCACTACATAAATAACAAATGCCCGTCATCATCAGTAACTGATCACATCACTTCTTTCAATGTCGGTCAGCTATTGGTCACTGTGCATCTGTTATTCAGTTCATACAGTGATATCAAGGTGTAGTTTCGTGATTTTTTTGTCCCCATTGACAAACCCATGTAACATTTCATTAAAATGGATAATCTAAAAAGATAATTACCCAACAAAGATAAAAGTGCAGCAAAGAAACAAAAAGTGGTTGTAACTTTGGCAATGAAATTCATATTGAACATATATGGAGTTGCTGATAATTTTTGATTCTACTATCAAACATGACTTCAAAAACTGAAGAAAGGGGTAGTACATTCTTTCATCCCCTTTGATTTCATTTTGTTCTTTCTCCCATCATCAATTTCCATATTTTCTCTGTCATTATTTCCTTTCCATTTGGACAACATTCTTTAGTCATTCTAGTGACAAATTTTTCTAATTTTCTTTTGTGTGAGAATGTCTTGATTTCCTCCTTACTCCTAAAGGATATTTTCATTGCGATAGAATTCTGAGGAGACTATTTCTTTGTCAGCACTTGAAAATGTTGTTCCACATACTTTTGCTCTCTGTGGTGTCAAACGGAAAGTCCACTGTCAATCATTGTTCCCTACAGATAATGCACTGTTTCTGTCTAACTGCATTCAAGATTTTCCTGTTTTCAGAAATCTGATTGTAATATGTTGATGTGTTGATTTCTTTGGATTAATTCTATTTGCAGTACATTTTGCTTTCATGAATCTGTTGGGTTTATGCCTTTGACCAAATTTGGGGATTTTTCCACCTTTATCTCTTTATTTTTTCAGCCCCATATTCTTTCTCCTCTCCTGAGACTCAATGATACAAGCATTAGATCTTCTGTTATAGTTGTACAGGTTCCCCGAGTCTCTTTAATTTTTAAATCTATTTTATTTAGACTAATTTTTGTCTTTAAGCACACTAATTCTTTTCTCTCATCTGTATTCTGACATAGAGTTTGCCCGTTGCTTTTTATTTTTTTAATGGTTGTATTTTTTAGTCCTAAAGCTCCATTTGGTAGTTTTTATATCTCCTATTTTTTTGCTGAGGTTTTCAGTTATTTTAAGTGTTATTAATTGCTCACCAGAACATTTTTATGATAGCTGCTTTAAAACCCTTGTTAATAATTCCAACTGAGTCATCTCACAGTTGACATCTACTGTCTTTCCCAATTCAAGTTGTAATTTTTTGTTTCTTGTTTTGCTGAGTGAATTTTTTTATTGTACCTAGTTATTTTGTGTATTAAAGAATAAGTGACTCTGAATCCTACATTGCACTTCCCTTTTCAGAAGGCAGTCAGACTGTTTAGGTCTAATGTACTCGGTTCTAGCATTTTTGTGTGGCCGTGACTCCAATGACACTTTAGTTTTCAGAGTCTTTGTAGTGTTATTTTGATATATTTTCTTTGTTTTTTTAAGATTACCCAGAGGCTAATCTAAAAATCTGGGCATATTCCAGCAGAGAGCAGTTCTCAAATTCCCTCCTTTTTCTTTGCTGATACTACTTCAACAAGAGAAACAGTCTGCCTTCTCTTTCTAACACCATATGGGTGGTAGAAAAACAGACTATACAATTGGTCTTTGCTGCTACTAAACCAGCAGAAGAAGCAGAGAAAAGTCTCCCACCATTGAGCAGAGGGTAGAAATTCAGGCTCTCTGTTCAGCTCCTGCTGACACCATCATGGTCAAGGTACATTAGCTGTATGTTCAAAAGAGGACAAGGACCCGGGCCTCTCTATCCTTTAAGAACACATTGGTGTCTAATCAAAGTGTAAGTGAGGATTTCAGAATTTTATTCTCTATTCTCCTCACTCACATCTGTGATAATGGAAAGTATGGGCATCTTTGCTTTGTGTCACAGTTTACCCAAACATAGAATAGGAAATTCAGTCCTAACCAAAGGATGACAGATATGCTCCAGGTATTTTCTTTTAATGGTTTATAATGGGCCACTTATTTGGCATCAATTGCTGTTTAAATTATTTTACAACAATACTGCTATTATTATCCCATGTTTATTGCAAAAGTTTCAGGAAAAAGTGATTCCCTTCAAGGCCATTTAGCAGATATATACTAACCCCTAGAAAGACTATCACAAACCTTGTCTTCCTTTGAGCTGTCCATCTCTGCCCCCTCCTTGAATTTTGCCAGTGCACTCTTGAGATCCTGAGATGTGTAGGTATTGGTGTTGATGTCTAGCCTGTTCAAAAAGAAGTTGAGAGTCAGGAGGGAAGTACCATCTTCCCCAAAAAATAAACACCCCCTGCCCAGGTGACCGGCACTTCAAGGCAAGCAAAACAAGGCCAGTTGGAACCCAAACACCACTATTCTATCTTTCTTCTAGACACCCAAAAGCCCAATAAGGTGACCTTCTTATCTGAAGCATGAGGAGGAAAGACACAGCTATAAATAAGACACTTCATGAAAAAGGAGGAAATGGATGGGTCACACAGAGGCTGACCAGGATTACACAGGTAGAAACAAGCCTGGAAAATCTGTGCAATGTTGCTCTCTCAGCATGTGCCACAGCAGAACCTGCTGAAAGACAATGGGCACATACACATAACATGTGCTGTATTCATATTCTTCTAGGAAAGGGACCAGCAGGGAACTGAGCTTCCCAAGCATGTCCCTGACTTGACAAGCCAGCCTGGCTTCACAAAAAGTTTATAAACATTCACATCTGTATGACCAATCCCTGGTCAGAGAAGATGAAGGAAACTTGACAAAGTTCCCTTTGATGTGTCAACTTGACAAAGACATGAGTTTGAGATACCAAGGATTAGAATCAAGGCCAGCTACCTTTCACAGATAGCCTCCAAGAAAAGGGAGGAAAGAAACCCAACATGGATGTTATCTCAGGAACCTAGCAAAGACTATAGAGTGATATTTTCCAGAAACTTCCCAAATAGTCCATGCTATTCCTCCTGACTGGAGAGAAAGCATTCATGGGGGTAGTGGGGATGGTAAAAGCCACTAGCATTCATTTTGGTTCAATGAAATGAGTAAGAGGAAGAATTTTTATTCTTATTCAGTATGAAAAAGTGTGATATAGACAAAGAGAAGTGTGGAATGTGGACTGCATCTGACAAGAGTGTCCAGCTGCAGGTAGGTAAAGGATTACCTAAGAGATATCAGAGGTGGGTTGAGGGAGGGGATATTCAATTGCCCTGTTCCAGGTGAGATGAGCACATAAGAAAGTCTCATAGCCCAAGATCCTAGCAGACCTTGGCTCTCATGAAAGGGATATGCTAGCAGAGCTTTGCTTATTCAGTCTTTGATTTAACCTACAGACCCTTGAGGGCCCTGAGAAAAAAGCACTTGTCTTCTTTAAACTTCAGTCTCAAATGAATTAATAACTAATCACTCCCATTTATTGGGCACTTAACCCTGATTTGGGCACTGTGTTAATCCCTTAAAAGTATCATTTCATTCAAATCATAACAAGCCTAAAAAGTAGAAGAATCCTTCTCAACACAGCATTATCCACTGCCAAATGCATGGGGATGCCATGGCCCTCCACTTCCTCCTAACAGGGAATGCTAAGGACAGATATTTCTTGACTTATGATGGAGTTATAGCCCCATCTTAAGCTGAAAAAAATTCATCTAAGTAAAAATCCATTTATTGCACCTAATCTACCAAACATCATGGCTCAGCCTTACCTACCTTAAATGTGCTCATAAACTTACATCAGCCTACAGTTGGGCAAAGCCATCTAACACAAAGCCTATTTCATAATAAAGTGCTTAATATTGCATGTAATTTAGTAAATGTGCTGAAAGCGAAAAATAGATATAGTGGGATATAAAAACACAAAGCACAGTATCAAAAAAAAAAAAAAAAAAGCTAGTAATACAGCACACTGTAGAGAACCAATTGTGCACCCTTGTGCTAGCATGGCTGACTGGGAGTTGGGGCTAGTTGATCTTACCCTGCATCACAAGAGTATCATACCATGTATCACCAGGCCAGGAAAAGTCAAAATTCTAAACTCTAAGTATGGTTTTTATTGAATACGTGTTGCTTTCACACTATCATAAAATTAAAATATCTTAAGTCAAACCATGATAAGTCAGGAACCATTTCTATTTAGGGCATAGTGTAAACAGATTATCTACTTCCTCTTCTAAGACTTGGTCAGCACTAACCCCAATATGTGTTACTATCTATTTACTGTCATAAGTCCCATTCTCAGAGGTCATCCATCATTGCTCACTCTCAGACCCAACTACACACACACACACACGCAGGTGTGTGCACCTGCACACACTCACACAAACAACCATCATCAGTTGGTATTCTCAATTGATTCTTCACTGACAAAATTAGACATCACCAAGAATCCCCTTGTTCTGCCATCACCAGCTCTATAAACCAACCTTCACCTCAGAAGATGACAGTATCCTTATGCCTAGTTAAACTAATACTCCATATCCTACTTGCCTTTCAAAAGCTTTAATACTCATAATTTTATCACTCCCACCCTGCCTGCATCATTAATTTCTCCCTTTGATCAAATTAAAACCATTACCACACCAATACTCCTTTAACCTCATGGTTTCTATTTATTATGCCTCTTCTCTGCTCCCATTCAGACTAACACTTTATGAATACACTGTCTTCACTATCTAGTCTCACCTTCAGCTATTTACAAGGCTGTTTGCTCTAATCTGGATTCTGTTCTCACAACTCTTCTAAAACTGCTCTTCAATCACTAATAATTGATGGCCAATTTCAACGGACTCTTCACTCACGTCATGTTCCTCTACCTGTAGCATTTACCCTGTTTACTCTCCCTCCTTGGAGGTGCTGGCACTGATGCCCACCTGTCCAAAGCTTTCCTGGACTCTTGTTAGCACACCCTCTGGTTCTTTCCTGTCCTCACTCCTTCTTGTTCTCTTTTGCTGGTTCCTCATTTCCTACCTTAATTCTATATGTTATAATGCCTAAGAATTAATCCTAGACAATCTTCTCTAATGCTACTCTCCCCACTGCTTCCTTCTAAATATCTATGAGGCAATGATGGCCAGGTTTACATCTTCATCCCAGACTTCTCCCCTGAGTACCAAATAGATTCTCGTACAACTTCATCTTATTGCGTCCAAAGCATAGGTATTGATTATTCTCTCCATAAATTTGTCCCATTGCCAATCTTTTCTATTTCAATAAATAGCACCTTCAAGTACATCCAACAGGACTAGTGGATAGGCTGCTAGGGATTAGGCTTAATGGACTATCTCCATCTTTCAGAATCTCTTAAATCTGTGGGATCACCAACTTCTTTGACAATCTGATGGAAAGCTGTGGGTCTTATCCCCCCAAATAAGCAGATAGGTAAATTACGGTAACAATTCTGGATATAAGCGCTGCCCATTAGCACGGGTTCCCATTCCAGTACTAAAGAGTCAGGAAAACACTGTGAAGAAGAAATGGAAGAGCATAAGATAAGGTACAACCCAGGAGGAGGAAAGGAAGTCACCAGCAAAGGCAGCCAGAGGCTCACTGAGCTCATCACCCCGAACCCCCATACTACCTTGTCATTACCTTTGAGTTTCTGATCACACAGGTTTGCCATTGAGTATGGATGTGGAGAAGGAAGAGGACATGTCCAGCAAGGCCTGGAAGCCATTCTAAGGCAGAGGCTCAGAAATACCCCAAAGGAGACAAGTGAAAAAGCAAGAGTGGGGACAAATATTTCTCTTATGTCTTCCACAGACCACATGGAGGGCCCTGCTATCTATTCTAAAAAGACAAAATAATAATTTCTTTGACCAATGATCTACTATCAAGTATTAGAAAAATAACTTCTTATAGTATATAAACCAAATTACAAAATTCCAAATTAATGAAGTTCCTACTTCAATATTCTTAGGAAAAAAAAAAACCCACAGGTTTTTATCTAGAAAATAAGACTTGGTTCTGATGAGAAAAAAAGACAAAGTATTTTGAGACAATGAAATATGTGTGTATGTGTGTGTTGTAGCAGGTGGATGGGTTGGCAGGTGCTACAAAATGAGATGTGACTCTTTCTTAGATGGTTGTGAGAAAGAAATCATTATATGATCTGGACCATGTAGGTACATCTGGAGAAATGGGGTAAGATAAAGTTTCCCTCCCAATTTGGGGTGACAGTAAGGAGACCAAGTATCTTTCTATCTTTTATCTTTTCAATAACAATACAAGGCTTGAGCAATGAAAACTGCTCATATCTGAACATGTTCCTTCTGTCAAGTAAACGACAGGTAAGAACTGGGTCATTTTCTGACTCATATCCAACTGCAATATATTATTAAAATAAAAAAAATCAAAGTATTAAGTAATTTTAGTACAAAGTACAAAGTAACACTAACTCCACTCAATCCATAATTGATTCCCAATACTAACATGTATTAAAACAGGGGCAGCAACTGTAAGAATAATGTAATATTTTAGGCTTTGCAGGGCTTATGGCTATAGTCCCAACTACTCAACTCTGCCACTGTAGCAAGAAAGCAGCTACAGACAATATACAGATGAATAAGGATGGCTATATTGCAATGAAACTTTATTTATGGAGACCACAGGCACATGAAAGTGTGCTTCCGACTCGCCATTTTAGAATAGGGATCTTTGCTTCAACAAAGACTGCTCGAAACTGGGAGAGGGCTGGCTCCACAGCCTAAGGTGGGCTGGGAAGCCCCCTCATGCCAGGCCCCATCTGGCCAGCAGTCGGAGCCCTGACGGGGATCTGGCAGCTACCACCAGGGCAGACCACGGGCACAGAAAATGCGCTTCCAACTCGCCGTTTTAGAATAGGGACCTTTGCATCAACCAAGACCACATGGAACTGGGAGAGGGCTGCCCCTGCAGCCAGAGGAGAGCTGAAGGCCCTCAAAAGCCAGGCCCCGACTGGCAGGGAGTTGGAGCCCAGAGGGGGATCCAGCGATTTGGAGCCCAGGGAGCAATCCAGCCACCTCTCCTAGAGAGCAGTCTGTGGGACTTGAAGACACACCTTTGGAATCAAACAAATATAGAAGGAGGAGATATTCTGTGACAGCGACCACTAACATATTCATAGTTCCACTGCCCTACTGGACTTCTGGTTTAACAGTATTTGACTTGATTGGACCACCAGATTCTGATATCTCGGAAAGAGCACACCAAAAAGATGCTGGCCAGTACCAGCAACACAGTGTCCCAACACATAGGATAAGTTAG